GACTACTGCAAGCAACTGGCATGGATCTTCAAGCACATTGTAAGAACAAATGTATAAGAATAAAATATTATTTTTTTGCATGATGTTTTGTACACTTTCGGATGTAAATAGCAGAATATAAACATATGCGCATACCATAACAAAACAAATGCGTCTACTAAGTAAAATATCAACTCTACAACATCATAAAGTCACATATATCTCATACCAAGTAAAAAAGCTTTTTTTAAACAACATTGATACAACATCGATACACTCAACGTGATAATAAAACATAGTATTAGATATTTCCTGATCTAGCCATTGCTAATTTTATAAAAACTATCAGCATTTCTTCCCACAAAGATCATTTTTTGTCATACTTCATGACCTTAAATCACCATTGTGGTTGTTGGCACTGAAATACCTATTTTTACTGCATGACAGAGCCAATTCTTTCAGAAACAAAACTACGTCCTCCGAAGAGTTAAGCAGATACCTCGCGTTTGATTGTTGTCGTCCCACGGTGCACGAAAAGTAATTGTCTCCCTTCAGATCAAGAACGGAAGAGCCCTCTTGCCACGACGTAGCCTCCTGAGGAGACCGGCAGGCATTCGGGTTGTTATTATGGTTTGAAGACGAGACCTTCCTTTCAGATGTGAAGGGATTCTTCTGGTTCTTTGAGTGTGATGTTTTTGAGCTGTTCTTGCTGTTTGTTTGCTTCCCGCCATGCTTCCTCTCAGCAGGTGGTTTCATTACTTCGGTTGTCTTTGTTCTGGAGGAATTGAGGGGTTCTGAAGGAAGCTCGGGCTCGAAGAATGTGTATATATCCTCATCCTGAAAGTAAGTGGTGCCATTCAAAATGAATCTAATTAGGGGCATTAACATACATACCATATGATTCTTATGTATTTACATATCTAACAGATACAGTTTAATATTTATATTCAAGACACTTAAATCTTTAACATCACATCAAAACTAGGGCTTTACTAACTTTTATAAAATGCATATTATTACAAGTTTTTGTGCTAATAAAACTAGGGCTTTACTAACTTTTATAAAATGCATATAATTATAAGTAAGTTTTTGTGCTAATCAGAGTTTTTCTTTTCAACAAAGTTGAGAAAAAAGGTTATGAAAATGAACACATGAATATAAACTACAGCAAAAATTACTTTTGGAGAAAAAAAAGAGTCAAATATTTGTAGATTATGCAAGTCATTATCATTTTCAAAATAGTTCGGGGTGCCTTAGTGAATCATCATTCCCCATTCGATTACATTGAGCATCATTTGAGTTGTTATACTTATTTAGTGCAGCTTTTTCAATATATACATATAAACTTTGGGATACCATTGCTTGTCCGTATACTTTGATTATAATTTTATCTGTCTCATTGTTGCATCTTATACCCTTCATTGATTGCCCTCTAATAATCACTTTTAAATATATCCTTCTTGATAAGAATAAGAGAATCGTTGAGTGTAATTTATTCCACTTTTACTAAATTTATGCAATCCTGGAAAACTTTTCTAGTCGAAGATATATGAAATTAATGACAGAAAATCAAGGATAAAAACAATATAATAATTACAATTTGTATAAAATAACATAAGGCTGAAGGTTTTAAGGCTTCGAATTGAGTGTCGAGGAGAGATGGAGGCAGCTAGTAAGCAACAGAGAGCCCTCAAAATTCATTCATATATTTTTAAGTACTCATTTTCTCTTACATATGAATCATTTTCCCTTGATTACAAATCTGCTTTTACTTTGTCGTGAATTTTGATGGTCCCATGAACTTAGATTAGATCTTTTATTATGTTCAGCATTTTGTCGTTGGGGAATTTCTAGACCTAGCATATGGCATAGTTGTCAAACAAAACCACGTTCATTGTGTTGTCTATAATCACGTGGTAATTAAAAAAATGCACAAGAGAGCAATTTATTCAATAACTTCACCCGATATACACTAATATGCAAAGCAATTTACAGCAAATAATGTTCAAATTTTTACAGCTTCAGTAATAAAATCTACCTTTGCCAGAAAATGTCCGATGCATAAAATATAATCTATTGGTGTAATCATGTTCTTGCTGTGCACGATTTCTCCCAATATTCGATCAATTGCAGCACCCTAAGAGTAAGAAAAAATTAAAAGGCAAGTTTATATAAGAAGTAAAGCAGAACATAGAAATTGACATGGAGATTGGATCAGAATTTTAACAGATTAAGAAGAAACAACATTAGAAACAGCAATGGCACAAGGTAAAAAAAAATTGCAATGCAAAAATACATAGAAGTCATGGAATCCTTCAATAAACTATCGCGTGCACAACTAAAGCATGGATCAACCATGAAAGCATACATCCATCTGCCAACATAAGTTTCAAATGAAACAGTAATACATACTCAAAATATATCAGGAAGTTCAAATTTCTCGCTTTTTACACATATGTAAGGAGCAAGCCTAGGAATTATCTGGTTAGCCATAGGCAGAAAGTCGATCGATGCAGATTTGTTCCAATAAGAATTTAAGAATAAGACTTACATAAAATCTAGTTGCTTGCAAATTTGTTGCGCAAAATACCTAAATCTGAATTGAATAACAAAACAACAAAAAAAAAAAAAAAGAAAAAAAATGAAACTTTCAGAATGGAATAAAATAAGCATTATCAATCATCTAAATTTGTGCCATTAAGCCCGAGTGCCTTCTGATGAAAATAACAAATTAGCATGCATGTAAAATAGATCCTTTTCCTTCTCTCATATTGATTGTTTAATAGAACTGAACTCCCATGCAGTAGATAAAACTACAAAGTCAATTCTCCAAATTTCAAACTCTCCATTGATAGGGTTTTGTGCAATTCATTTTTGATAATCAACGGGAGGATTTAAACGAGGGTAGAAAAAAGTAAACTAGATTTGAGATTATGAATAAATACCCAAATTCAATTTGACAAGTTATTCAACGCTCAAAACAAATGAATGAAAGAATCAAAAAGGCAATCACAAATAGTTGACAACAGATTTTATGCGGTGGAATTTGATGAGAAGAAGCATAAAGTTAGCACTAAAATATCAATGATTTATCTATAATTCCTTTCAAAATAATCAAGAATCAAGGGATTAATTTATCAGCCCATTTTCAACCCTAAAACTTAAATATATCGGTGTGCACAAACCATTAAAAATTTATCCACCAAGTTATTGTTTAAACTATACAGTGCGCCATAAAATTGATACAGTTATATGCTGAAACAGATTAGGTCTCTCACAATAATGATGATCATGATTCTATTATTTACAATCTCAACAAAGGAATATTTCTTTGGCTTTAAATGAGTCACTAGCGCACTAACTTGTGCAGGTGAGGTTATTTTATTTATTTATTTGTTTATTTATTTTTGGTGGCACATCGAAGGACAAGGATTTCCTAAATTATGTCGTAAGTAGTCAGAAGAAAATAAAGAGGCCAGGCATCAGATCAGTCACAGTCTAAAACCATTAACGAGCCCAAACACTGTAAATCATTAAGTTGTAGCCTAGGATCAAGCTTTTATTATGAATGACATAAGGTGGAAAATTATAAAGCAACATCAAGGATCCAACTTCAGCACTTTGATACTTTTTATTTCCCGTCAGCACGTCTCAGAAGACCATTCCCCATAAAATATATCACAATTGATGCACTCTAATGCTGTGTGTAAAACAACGATAATGCCCATGAATTGCCGCCACACGTCGTTAACTTTATAAAACAGTGCAATTTCGAAAAATTAATACAAACCTCAATACAAATAATTGAAACAGAAACAATGAATACTTTCACGGAATTGTATAGATCTTATGACTTGACAGCCAAGCAGTATTCATCAAAGAAAAACTACAGCATTAAAAATCCTGTTGCCCTAATTAATCTAGTTGTATAAAGCAATGAAGCTCTAAGAAGCATATAACAAATGCATAAATATTTTTTCACATGGCAAACTAGATTGAATTCACATACCTTAGTGACCCCAACTGAACGAACCTCAACTGATCGACTGCCTTGGACAACATCAACAGCTGCATTAGATATTGGACCCGTCCATAGATGTTGTAGCATATCCCTTGCTTGAATTCTTCCAAACTCAACATCTTCATAATGGCAGTAAGAGAGACAAGTTAGCATTAGGACGTGAAATGAGATTATGACATAATATAAGCATTGTATAGAAATTACCTGCATACTTGTAGTTCCATACAAGTGAGGTTTCCCGATGCTCAAAGTGAGACCTAGGAGTTCTTTCTGTAAAATACTCGAAAACGTGCTAGCCAATGCAATGAAAAAATGTTTTAATATAAAGAAAATATCTACTAGATCAAAACTACGTAGTTATGAAACTCAAAACTAAAACCACCTTCACACTGTCAACCCAATCCATGTTAAGATGTTCTGGCATTGTAGTCATCCACTCTCCATCTGTAAGACGCAAAAACATCCCATTCTCTGCTGCCAGCCACATATTGTATTCCCCAAAATTCTGAAATAAAAAAACTTCGATAACAAAAAAGTTTGATAAGACTAAAAAAAAGATTTTGTGATAAAGCCTCACATCATCTAAGACACTTCTATCACTTCCACTAAGAACAACAACGGTAGTTTTTGGATCATTACAAAGCGTTGTCAAAGGGACTTTTAAGTCTGCATGAAGCTTAAGCTCCATCTCCTTAATTTGATCGCCTCCTCTTCTACCAGAAGATTCAACCAGCTCTGTTAGTGTTGAATTGAAACCCTGCAATTTCACGTGTACACTCAGCAAAATAGCAGGACATGTGAACATTGATGAATGGTCGTGGAACTCAAACCACATTTGTTGAAAAATTTCAGCAAGAATCAATCCAAAAATATGCTTGTGAAATAAAGAACGAGAACTTGGTAAAGTGCAAAGGCATTCACTTTCAGTTTGCATAATAGGCAACTCAATAGGTGGGATGGTTTATAACCATTGCTTAGCATACAAATATACACCATTTCTAAAGGAAAAGTGCTATCTTGCAATGGCCAAGATATAATTTTTGGGTGAAATGAATTAAGTGGATGGAGTATGATGTTATATCATGGATTTGACATTCGTGGCAGCTTTTGGTGTGGTCCATGCAATCTCTCATTATTAATGGCAAATATTAATACCTTCCTATAACTTTTTTTGTCTTTTTTTGGGGCTAACCAGTGTGCATCATAATGTGCTTCATAAATTTTGGCAATAATCTTATCAGCCTCATCAAATCTCAAGTATCATAAATAGAATTTATCAAAATATTTAAAACATTTTTTGTCATTTTTGGGGATGACTAGTGTGCATCATAAAGTCCTTCATAAACTTTGACAATCATTTTATCAGTCTCATTAAATCTCAAGTATAATAACAAGATTTGATCAAAATATTTAAAATAGAGGGTGCCGACAAATGCACATCTTGAGGCTCTTTTCTTGATTTGCATGACTACTGATTCATTTTCAGATAACTTATCTTTTTTGATATAATAAATTAATAATTATCATCAATTATCTTAATCTACTACCATGAAATCTAATGTTGGCATTTAGAAATATCATTAGATGCTCTTCTAGAATAATCTAGCCTTCTTTTGTTAGCCTCGATAAGAGGAACAACCAAAGCTGTGTTTAGCTAGGTTAAATTTAACAGCCCATTCTTTTGCAGGGTTAATAGAGTTCCTTCATTTGAATTTTCTTACCTGATTGGGGTTTGAGGAACAACTAAAATCATATAAGACTGCATTAATTTAAAAGCTTATCCACCTACGAGGTTTTTGATTAGCTAAGTCATGAGAGCCTTTAGAGGACTCTCCAAGGTACTAACCATCTTAAGCATCAATAAGAACATTCTTTTTTTAAACTCAATTTTGGTGGATTTTATCAATGGAGAATATCTGGGAGTGTAAATTAGAAATCACATCTTTTATTTTCTCAAATTGATGACGTCTCATCACCTACGAGCTTCAATCTCAAACCAGACACATATTTTTCACTAATTAGGCTCTTCTTCTTTAATAGCTTTAGGATAATAAACTCTGGCCGATAGAGCTTCAAGCCGCTTTCTTTTGATAAACTAGTACTTGATGTTGTTGAGCCCAGAAAGTTTGTTTTTAGCCTCCAATAAAACTAATCATTTTCACCCATTTTAAGTTTTCAAATTTAATATATGCAAAAATACACTTTGTTGGCTCTAAGATGTATTGTACAGCTAGTTGCTCAGATAATTGCTCTGATAATAATTGTTGGGCTATCAATTTGACGTTTCACCTTCTTCTCTGTTATTTAGAGAGCATTCATCTACATGAAGAAGCTTCAACATTATGCCTTCGTAACAAGAAATGCTCAATAAGCAAGGTGGTGGTGCTGGTAGGCAGTAATGAAACCTTATGGTATAGTGATAATCCTATTTACGATTGAGGCGTCTCTAAGAGTCAATTTTGTAAATAACTAAGTCCTTTTTTAAAAGGCCTCCATAACAGTACTATCTTCAGTACATCTTGCTCGACACATGGCCTAGAGGGAATGTTGTGCAAATATTTTAGTAGGTTGTGGCCTTCTAGCATGGCCTCAAATAGGCATACCATGGACAACATGATAGTGGCCATAGAGTGATAGGAGTTGAAATCTCTATGCCACCAAACTGGATGGTGGCTACATCATCTCCAAGATAATGCATTTCAAACTCAACTTGTTGGGTACATCGATCACATTCAAATGAATCAAGCTCAATGATTCTTTATGGTATTTTCGATGCTAATGATGTATTGGCATGCTCCGTCATCCAAATAGACAGCATTTAGGGTGATTTTGATTTCGATCAACACACCACGAATTTGTCTTATGTGATATTGTATCTATCATCCATATTCGATGTTATATTTAATCATGTTGAGTTGTAAGAGTCATATAAATAGTTGCATGACATTTTAGTATTTATCTATTTTAGCATTATCCTACACACAATCATCATCAGCCTTATCCCAAATATTTATCGTAGTTTTGCCAATACTCATTTTCAATATTCCTAAGAAGCATTGCATGAGCTATAAACTGTATTTTGAGCAAATTCTTAGTCATTTTTGTCAAACCATCTTCTTGCTATGCTTCCACCCACTATACATATGCCTACACCATTTGAAATTATTTCTCACATCTTTATCTTCTATAAGCCATCAGCACAGTACCAAATAATTGCTCAATCTAGCACAACTAGGTTTGCCTATTATCCATTTTAACATATGCAATATTTATTGCTTGTGCATTTTATGGATTGTTTTCCATATTTTTGAAATTACTGAAATTTCCATCTTTTTTTTATAACTTGACATAGGTTAGCAGATATCAGTTTAGAATTGAAGAATAAAATAATACTAATCTCAGAACCTAAATAACCTAAAGGTCCTACCAAATCAAAATGACATTAGCTAATTCAGCCACAATCTTTTGTGCTTATTGTTCCAAAACATGACCCTACGAGCAAAGAATGAATAAAAAAAAGTAATAGTGATTGACGAAGAAAATGTCAAGCAAGAAGTAATCAGCTAATCTTAATTTCAGAAATTATATGCACGGTGAACTACAACTTGATTATAGATAACACCAAAATATTGACTTGTCACGATAGTTATTTGGTCCAACATGATAGCTGCTGATTAAAAAAGGCAAGTTAATGTGAAAAATGGTGGCCATAAGATAACAGAAGTTCCACATGAAATTTACCATTGGAGGACATTACCAATATGAGGAGACGATTCTTGGACCGCAAATATTGTCCGATGGCTAATTCAGAAGGGAGCAATGGTGGAACCTGTCTTGTTCTTATTTGAGCTTCAACAACTGTATCGTTAAGTTCACTGCAAGAATAAAAATGTCAAAAGATTACAAAACTAAGAAAAAATTTGCAAATTTTCATAAATACATGATTGTCAGTTGAAAAACATGTTCTGAAAGTTTTAAGTATTTTTTAGTTGAAGTAACTATTTCTTGTGATGGGAATAGCCTAAGTAGTAGTTTATTGGAAAAAAATATGAAACTTCAAAAAATTATATAAAAAAAAAAGTGGGCAAGCTATCGCCAAATGCCATATTTGATTAAAAAAATTAGAATTTTCAAAATGGGAAATTTACAACATACCACGATATACTCATGTATTTAGATATCTAACACCTAGAATTTGATATTTACATTTGTCATAGCCTATGCATGAAAAGGTGCATTTCTCTTTTAAATTAGTAATAGTGGTATTTCTGATGTGATTTGAGTGTTATGTGCATATATAAAACAATTTAGGTTTTATATATGTAAAAATATAAGAATTGTGTAGTATGTAAATACCCCTTTCAAAATTTATGTGGTTTAATTTTCCCACATTATCAGTGTAAACTACCCAACAGAAGTGAGTCAAATATTTTCAAATCAGATACAGGACAATTTTGTTTATTACAAAAAATCAGTAACTAAAAAGATTACTATCTGGCTGATCGCCACTTTAAGATACCAATCAGACCCCTACCTTACAAAAGTTTCTGCCCACTCTTGGGCTGTGTGCGTGGTTACATGGGCATAGTTGTGCCTATGCCGCTTTTCTCTCTCATCAGGAGTCATATTCAATGCTTTTGCAATCGAATCAGCAACCTCTGTAATGTTCCATGGATTTACAAGAAGGGCACCAGCTCCAAGAGACTGCGCAGCTCCTGCAAACTAAAGAGATAAAGTGATTCAGAAAGGCGTCAACAGTAAGTTAAGCAAAACATATAACTTAGCAAAGCATATATCAATTCACACTCATCCTTTTATTAAGCAAACTAGAGAGGAACAGATACAGACTTCCTAGTGCTTCCCTCATTTTCAAGGTGCGTGTGTATAGGTTAGGGCTGTCAATTTGCCTCGATGTTTGTGAACAACTCGTGTTCGGCTCGTTAAGTAGCTCGCGTTTGGGGCTCGTTCGTTAAGCCTAACGAGCCGAACACGAACAAATTTTTAAGCTCGAAATGTAAACGAGCCGAACACGAACAAAAGTTTGTTCACTCGTGTTCGGCTCGAATTGGCTCGAAAATAATTAAATAAATATATATACATAATAAATATTCATAAAATTAAATATTATAAATTATAATTAACTTAATTTTTCTAACTAAATATATTTTCACATTTTATTAAATCAAATCCTATAAATTATAATATATAATAATTTATTACTAATAATATTTCAACATTAATTATATAAAACAGTGTAATAAAAATTAAATAAATAAAATATTTTAAAATATATATACCACTAACGAAAAAACCGTAACCGGCCTCCCATTCCGTCTCTCGAAACTTCTCTCGTTCGTTCGAGGCCCTCTCCCTCTCCCTCTCCCTCTTGCGAGTTGCGACTATACTCCTCCGACGACCACGACAGCTTAGGGCTTGCCGTTTATGCTCTTCTATCTAATCTCTACTTCTCCTTGTCGGCACTGTTGACTCGATTGATTGGTATTCTTGCTTGTTTGCTCGATAGTCTTGCACGGCTGTTGTTTTTGTTTATTCGATAGTCTTGCACGATTGCTTGTTTGGAGACCTAGGTGTTACCTTTGAGTATCTTTTCAGTAATATTTCATATTTATCTTCAGGTATGTCTCTTGCCTTAAACTTTCTTAAATTTCTTTTAAATTTATGTACATTTTTTAGTGATCTTAGGGTATGTAGAAGATTTATTTAGATTTAGTGATTTTTTTCATTATAATGTTAGATTTATTTAGATTTATTTAAATTTTCATTATAAAATTAGGGCTTTTGGATTAAATGAGGTCAACACATTTAGATTTATGTGTATATAAATCTGATTAAGTGGTTTCTGATTAAGTGATTTCTTCGTTATAGTGTTTAGATTTATATTTAGTACCTACATGATATTCCTTAAAGGGTTTTGATGTGGTATGAAATCATCTGTCTTTATGGAATCACCAGTTGGCTAATATCTGTTTTTAAATGACACTAAACTGTTACTTTCTTTTTCTTATGCATTATATTCTGCTACTGTTATAGGCTTTAGTGATTCAGTATGCTAATTTTGGGTATGCATGAGGATTGAGCTGTCATTCTTTGACTAGAAATGGTTGTTCTTTTCAGGTCTTTGTTAAATAGCAAAATCTTAAGATCCCAAGATTGCATTCTAAAGTTTAAGGTGGTATGAATGCAAAAAATAGAAGTATAGGTGTTAGACATGTAATACATAAGAATTGACTGGTATGTGTGTAAATTTGCAAAAAAATAGAATATTTGTGGCCGCAGAATTGAAAGGAAAATATGTGATATTGTGTTGAAAATATGTTAGGAAAATCTATGTTAGGAAAATCTACATTTGGTTCAATATGGTTTCAAAGTTGTCATTAGATATGCAGCGTATTCTTATACTTTACATGCTTAACACCTGAACTTGGATATTTGTTTGTACACGCATAGATCATTTGGCTCTCATGTATTCTTATATCTCAAACATGAGCTTCAGTTTTCCCATATATACTACCTTTACTTATTTCTCAAAGGCAAAAATACGTCTCTGCATATATTGATTATGAATATCAAAAGGTTACAAATGTAAATATCAAACTGTAGGTGTTAAATATGCAGCTATATAAGAATTGTTCAAAATTACAATTTTGTTGGTTTGGGGAAGATTTGAAAGCTCTTGTGACTTGTTGTGCATAAGTTGAAGACACAATAGAAGAATTTTACTCTTAATGAAATAAAATGACGTCTTAGACGATTATTCTTATTCTTAATTTTGGAAGGCAACATAAGTTTGCAACTATTTTAGGATAAGAATATGAAATGATGCCTTATATGATTATTCTGATCTTTAATTTTGGAAAGCAATACAAGTTTGCAACCATTTTAAATTTTTTGGCACTTGGGTATTTGCACATCTAACACTATCAGCTTTAATCTCTTTGCGAATGTATTATTGACTGTTTTTAAGAGAGTTTGGTGCCCCATTTAAGTGCTGGGTTGCTCATCTTTTTGAGGCTTTTAAATTGTTGTATGAAGGCTTTTGAAATGTATGTTTGTTGATTCTATATTGTTTGAGTACTAATTTACATTCACTGATACTAAAGTTTGGTTTTGGTTCCTTTGTATCTGTCGGGAATGCGCTTATTCATGCTTATGGGTCTTTTGGAGATGCTTCTGGTGCACATAAAGTGTTTGACAGAATGCCTGATCGGGATGTTGTGCCTTGGTCCTCAATGATTCATTTCTCGGATGCAATTTGAGGAATTTATCAGACCTAATGAGATTACACTTGTTTCAATGTTGTCTGCTTGCAGCTTATTCTCTTCTTTCAGAGATGTGAATGGTTTGTGTGCAATAAATGTAAAAAAAAAGTTTAGATGTTAGATATGTAAATATGTAGGAATTCAGTGGTATGTATGTAATTGTCTCAATTAATTATACATCATTTTGTATGCAGGAAATTGGTGTAGTTTGCAGAAGATGGCACCTTTGGAGGCGAATATACGACTTATACTTTGGGTATCATTTCATTGTCTTCATGTTAAACTTCTTTTTATCTTCGATGGAAAAATAACGGAATTTCATTGGATTTATATTTTTTTTGGGGCATTTAACTAAACTTTAATATTTACATTTACCACTTTTACTAACTTTTTAAAAATCAAATGCATCTTTTTATACATCTAGGTGGTAAAAATATAATATCCAGCTAATAGAGAATACCTACATTGGTAAGCATAAACAATCCTAAAATATTCATTTTGTGTATAAAATGATGTATGATCTTTCACTCAATAAAGTAAGAGCTTTACCTGGCAGCCATAAACTGTTGATTATTAGCAGTCATAAATTTATATTTTTTTCTGCAGTTATCAATAAGAAATGGTAGCAGAGATCAACCAACGACCATCGTAGTCTCCGGTTCTACAACCCACTGCACTGAAGAAAGCTGTGTATCTACTCCCGGTGCTTGTCAGGAGTTCCAATGGTGTGAGCTCCTGGTTTACAAAAATTAGTTTTAGTAGTTTGAGTTGTAAAACATAAGAAAAATTAAATATTCAATACAATTTTTTTTAGATTTTGATTTTTTATTTTATTTTTTGTACTCTTGTTTAGTTTGTACATTTTAAAATTTGTAATAAATTGATTCTTATTTTGTAAATTTTTGTCAAATAATATTAATATTCTTGTATAAAATTTTACAATCAATTTTGTAAAGTTTTTTGAGTTCATCATTTTTTTTAGTTAATAAATATCTGAATTTTTGTATGAAATTTGTTCTTGAAAAAAATTTAGACAAAATTATTATTTTTTTTAAAAAATAATATTTATTAAATAATTTTATATTCTAACGAGCCATTTTCGAGCCCGAACATGAAAATATTATTCGAGTCGAACACGAACGCACTGTTCACGAGCCATTTCGAACACGAGCCGATTTCAAACGCGAGCTAGATTCGAACGAGCCGAGCCCTAGTTGAGGTAATGAAATGTGAAATAGTCCCGCAAATTTTGATTTGCCTGTAAGTCGTCACATTGCAAAAACAGAAAGAAAAGTCTTCTCTATTTTGCGATCTTTCTGTTGGAGAATTTCTTTAATTTTCTGCATTTCTATGTGACTGGGACAGGGTCCTCAAGGCCAAAAAGAAAGAAGCATGAATTAACAATTTTGCTCTCCATCATCCACTTTACCAAATCTCATGTTAAATATTACATGGTAAACATTTATGCTAAAAAGATGAATAGCTTCTCTTCTGCTCATCTAACGCATCCTTAAAATTAAATCAACATGCATCATGGCTTCCAACACATTAGCAGAACCACTAATCATTAGAAATCACGAATGAAGTTGGATAATTTTAGAAAGTTATCTGATGCGAGCGTCCCTTCTCGCTCCCGCTCCCGCTCCCACTTCTGCTCCCAGACAAACTCGAGATATGTGAACCAGTCAAAAGGGCATTGGTTCATGCTATTCCAAACCCCCTATTTGCCCTTTTTTAGATTATTATCAGTGTTAATTTTGCTTCGAGACACAAATATGGTGTTAATTCCTACTTTTGAAACTTTTGGGGTTTGCTTTATCATTTATACAATAGATATTTTCTCTAGTTCTTTCTCATTGAAGTTTTGTATCATTAGATCATCCTAGAGGGATGTGCCTATTGTATGATTGAATTGAGATGGTGGTTTCTTCTGAACATCCTAAGACCTCCCACGCAGCTAGTTTCACAGCTTACTTGCAATTTATCTGTCCAGGCTTGCTGTACAGCCACCAATAACCCTGATTACTCAACCCCCATCATCATTTCACCTTCCTTTCTCGTGCTATAACTTCTTAACTCCTCTCTTGATCACCCCACACTGTCCAACAACCCTAGATTGGTCTTAGTTGGTATCACAACATGACAAACCCAAAATCACCTTCCTATTTTGGCTGGAATCCTAATAGAGAGAAAGAGACGACATGCTTATAATTTAAAAAATGTAAAAGAATATTCTCCAACTACACCAAAAGGTTTGCCGCATTTAAAAAGAGGCAACCTAAAATGGTCATTCAAAATCATAACGGTACCTCCTCGGATCGAGAGGATGAAGCTAACTTGTTCCACAAAGAAGTTTTGTGATGATGAACCAATAACTTAACAATTTGGCAGTTAAGAAAAGTGGCAATGACCTAGGGGTGAAGATTATGCTTGCGGATTTTG